AGGTTCATAATTTAGAACCTTGATTTGAGATGGAAACATTATTTCTGCTACTGTGGTGACTGATGGGTGGGCCGTGGCAGACACAGCTTCATGTGAAGAAGCAGGTGTTTGTGTAACTCTGGGTGGGGCTGTGGCCTTGCCAATTTGACACTAGATTTCTAAGGGTAACTCCCTACCTTCCATTTCTCTAGCTACTCATGGTTTTACAAACATTGATTCTTTGCTTTAAAGACCGTTCTGTGCATGTTCATGGCAGGCTTACTTGTAATAGCCCCAAATAGGAAACAGAGCAAATGTGCATAAACAGTGAATGGATAAACAAAATAAATGCATCCCTGCAATATAACTATGTCAAAATAATTGTGATTAGTCCAGAAGCCAACCTTGGCTTAAAATTGCGTAGCATAGGATAACAATTTTTGAAAATTCCAGAAAATGCAATTGAATATACGAAAAAAAAAAACTGATGAGATTTTCCTTGACAGGAAAGAAGGAGGTGTAGAGGTAAAGATTAAAAAGATTACAAGAGGGCATGAAAAGACATTAATATTAGGAGACTTGTTCTTTATTTTTACTGTACAACCTCTCAGGTACTTGCATCTGGAAAAACTTCATAAAAGATATACTACCAATATGCTAATCTTATTATATTCAGATATAACCAATAAGGGTATATAAAATTAAATATGCATGTATGAATTATTGCCTAAAGCATAAGTTGAATAGAAAGTATAAAATGTAAAAACATTTTAAAATACTAACCATACCATAACATTTTTTGCCAATTTTGTATTGTTCACCAGGGGTCAGCAGAATTACTCTGCAGGCTGGAGCTTTTAAAGTGCACTGCTGACCCTACCGCAGCAGCATCCACAGTCTAGCAGGGCCCAGCCTCACAAGTATCAATCATTACACAGTCTTTCTACCTCTCCAAGCTCCCCACAGTGGACTGCCTCTGCTACTCCGTCCAGGCAATGTCAGCTAACCAAAGGTCAGTCCTCTGCAGGCTGCATTTTTTAACATCATTTGTTCTTCAAGAGGAAAATGGATATTAACTCATCAAGTTTAAACCAACAGGGCTTTCTCAGAAGGATCTCTGTTATCCTCAGACCAAATGAAACTCAAGTGCATAATGTGTATGCACCAGAAGTTTTCCTTCATAGCCCTTCACTAGGTGGCAATTATCTCCTTATGGCCATGATTTATCTGAGACCCTCTCTCTGTTACAAGGTAAACTCAAGAAGAACAGGGCCCACATATTTTTATTCTCTTTGGACTTTCCACGTCCAAGCTAAGGGCCTAGAAAATCACAGATGCTCCATAAACACTCATTAAATCAATAAGGGAAACCACACAATGGAAGCCCATTACCCTGGGTGACACTTGCAGTCCAATCATGTTTCTTATAGACACAAAGGCACTGGTGTCAGCATGAGAGGAGGCCTCCACATGCTTGTGTACATACTAAGGCCAGGCTTTTACTTTCCATGCATTCAGTAGGAAGGTAAGGACCCTCCAAACAGTGAGGGGTTGGGGCACACTTTATGCCCCCCACAATCACAGCTCTCCACAGTCCCACCTTTTGTTATGTCTCATCACCCAGGCCTGTGTTCTTCCTGTTCTCACAGATACCTCACTGGACAGAAACTCTGGATAGATATCAGATGGAAACATCTCCGAATCCCTGAAAGAGTTACTGTCAGGGGTGTAAGAGCACACCTTGAGGAATCAGGGATGACTTTTCATTCCTACAGTTCCTGGTCTGGGGGACACCTGCCTGTTTTTTGTGAAGTCATCTGTGTGCTTCATGATGTCCTGGGAACAAGGGGAACTTCCTGTGCAGAAGGGGACAGGAGAACCCAGAATCTGTGATTGCTTCCATCTCAGAGGGGCTGAGCTTTCTAGGAGAACTTCTCCTCCCCTAACAGAAGAACCCACAGGGCCCCCATTTGAGTGTTCATGTGGAGATGCTCCAGCTCCTGGGCCCTGTGAGCAGACACGGGCGCAGAAATGACTTATGTGGCAGGCTTGAAAATCTTCACAGGATATTCTGATCAGAAATTTCTAATTGGGCAGGTGATGGCAAGTTATTACATCCTAGGCCTATATTTTCCTTAGCAAAGCTTGGTCTTTACCTTAAGTGAGCCCTGATTCTTTTTTCTTTTCTTTCTTGCTCCTGTTTTGTTTTGTTTTGTTTTTTGCATAGCATAAGTTTCACACATCAGAGTGATTTTGTGTGCTGGACCTGTCAAAGGCACAGTGTCTGGGACAAGTATATGAGACCACAACATCCTTTATGTTGTCTTGTCCCCTGCACACCTTCTTTGTGTCCTGTAAATGTGAATTATCCTGTGCTTACCAACATAAAAAATACATTTCTCCATTTTACCTTTTTTTTCCCCAATTCCAGGGATTTCCTTCCTATGTTTTCTCTCATCTCCTAATAGATTTTATGCAACCTGTTCACCTTCTCCTGTGGGTATAACATGTGAAACAGGCTGCAAAACTGCCTTTCTTCACTGATTTGAGACCATGCTCCCAGGCATATGAGTTCAGATTGGCTGAGATAAACTCACTAAATTGCTCATTATATTGCTTAAACTCATTAAAAGGTTAACACTTTTTTCCTTAAATGGGGTCTATAAGCACCTCCTCTCTCAGGGGACTCTGTGCTGCCCTCTGCCCCATGCCTAGCATCACCCATGGGCAAAGTGAAGTGAGCACCAGAAAGCCAGCCAGGCAGAAATCAGAGGTTGTCCCAAGCCAGGGAGCACAAGGACAGGCCTGACAAACATACATGGAGAGGAATAGTTTACCTGAAACCATCTATTGTGGACCAGGGAGCCCAGAGGCACCTGCATTTTCCCTGGTACACACGTTGGACACCTCACAGTTAACACTCAAAATTTGCAGGTCCTATTGAGATTCCTGGGTTTGAGTTTTTGTGTCTGGAAGCAAAAGCCAGTCTGATGACAACCTGAAATAGAAGAAGAGCACCCTCTACAATTATTACAAGGCTTGACCCCTTCTAACCTGAAGATTCGTCTCTGTGACCTTCCCGCTGGAAGGATATTAAACCTCAGAGCTTTTGAGAACATGAAGCAGCCTGGATTCCCACCTGAATTTTTGTGTAGCAAACAGAAATAATCCCCATTTTTTAAGGATACCCAAGGCTCTCTTTGTGGTGCTGACATACTGAAGACCAAGACACAGCAGAAGCCAATGCTGATATGAGTAGGTTATCCCCTGAGGGATTGCCTCATCAGCCTTGCTATTGCAAGTGTACCCTAAAAACCAGGAAGATCAACCTCTCCTGAGAGTTTGTGAGGTGCACAGTCTCTGACCCACTGTACCACAGCCCTGTCAGAATCTGAGGTTTAACAGGACCTGGTGACTTTCTATGTACACAGGAGAGCAGGACAGGTGGTTCTACCTTCACATAAGGAGATGTCCTTTTTAAAGGGCACCCACAATAGCTGGATAGCTGTTGAAGTTGCATTTTTTAGGTGTCACTTGTTTATCATAATGTTTAGGATTTTAACAGCGATTCGATGCACAGTAGGGGTGACATCTTTGTGCCAGGATTTTCTGAGTTAGCTAATGAACACCTGCTCTGAAGGGAAAAGTCAAATGTGAAGAGAGAGAGGAATATGGGAAAATCTACCATGCATCTGAGTGGAAGCTCTGGGGAAACCTGAAAACCAGGACAACCCAGGCTTGTGCTTTTCAAAACATAACATGAGATTGGTTTGTGTGCATGTGTTTATATGCATGTGTGTGTAAGTGTGCCTGTGTGTATGTTTGGTGTTCAGAGACCTCAGGTTATTCAGGAAAAAAGGGTATAGGAGAGAAATATTGGTTAGAAGGGACAAGAGTGGCAAAAATGAGGGCAGTGAATGGGAGGGTCCTGAGCTCAGACCCTGCCCCCAACCCACATGACAAGAAGAGTAAACATGCCACAGAATAAAGCTCAGTGCACAGGTAGGACACACAGCAGATTGCACCATTCAGGAGAGAGGTGTCTGTGAGTCTTAAAGAACCTCAGGCTTTTCTCAAAGAGGCAGTCACAGAGCAGGCAGCAGACACCATGGGATCCCCTTCAGTCTCTACCCACAGAGGACTTGTCCACTGGCAAGGGCTCCTGCTGGTTGGTAAGTAGGAGACAATTCCTTGGGGTAGACTGAGGATATTACACAGAGACTGGCTGGGATCTACTGAAGAGAGCAGTGTTCCAAGAAAAGAGGGAATGCTCTGTTTGGACCTGAGGGTGAAGGAGAAAGGAGCAGAGTAGGATGAGGAAGGGGACTCAGCTAGAGGAAAATCTCATAATCCAGAAGTGGTGAGAGGCAGAAAACCTTCAACTGCTCTTCATTTCTTGTCATTCATCATTAACTATTGAATTATGAAAACTGATAATGATAATATTGATTTATGCCAGGAAGCACCCCCAAAAATGTATCCAGGGTTGTTAGACATTGTCTTCACCACCAATTTCAGAAATGGGGAAAAAATCCCAATGAGGTACAGGGCCCTGGGATCACCTATTGATTCAATCCCATGTATTTTCAGTTTGTCACAGTCACTGGAGGTATAAGATCAGACAAGCCCTGCCATCAGAAAGCCCATGTTCCATAGAGGAGAGAGGGACTAAGAAAATCCAGATGTGATGTCAGGCACTCACAACTGCTGTGAAAATTCAGAACAGGAGCAGAACTTGAAGTCAAAAAATGTGAAGTCTTTAGAGAAAGCAATCAGCACATGTGTGTTTCAAAAATGCTCCTGAGTGTTAGAAGGGATCTGAAAAGTGAAGGGTGAGCAAGACAAACACTTTGAGAAGAGTATTGGAAACAGAAAAAATAAAGCTTCAGGAGTTCTGAAGTAATTGGGGCCATGTTGTTGGCCTTGACCATGGGAGACACATACATGTGTAGACCAAGGAGCCTCATCTTTCCATTCCAAACATAGATACACATATTAATCATTTTTTTCTTTTTTCCTAGTCTCACTCTTAAACTCCTGGTTCCTGCCCACCACAGAACAACAGAAAATTGTGCCAAGAAACGTTATGAGCGGGCAGGATGTTGTTCTACCTGTCCATAATAAGACTCAAAGTTCTGTACGCATCACATGGTACAGAGGGAATACCATAAAAAATGATCAGATCATTGCATTTCTTACAATAAACTCATTTTACAATATAAGAGGTCCTGCAGATGGACCAGTATCAATAAACAAAGATGGATCCTTGGTGCTAAGGAAGGTCACCATGAATGATACAGGAATATATACCATAGTAATCCAACATCCAGATACAAGAATGCAAATAGGATTAAGACAGCTTAATGTATATGGTGAGTGATTGTTTTCTGACAACGGGGTGTTGGGTGGGGAGACTTCTACTTCACACACAGGACTGGTAATTCCAGATCTGCACTCCCCTCTGCACTTTGCAGGTTGGATTGTGGCATTCAATGCAGAATACAGAGTGTAGACAAACTTCTTAAGATCTCAGTTCCCTTCACGACTTGCAGCCCTGCAGACAGTCACTGTAGACAGAAGGGTCAGTCTGACAGAAATAACTCTCCAGAGGGAGAGCAGTCTCAGTTCAGTGCCCTGAGCACCAGCCTAGGGACTTGACTCTGAGAATGACCCTGCTGTACTTGGTCAGAGCATGGACTGAGATGCCCCCTGAATTTCTTACACAGCTCAGCCCAGAAACCCCTCCCAAGAACCCTGTGCCAGAGAGATCTTGACTCCAGGGACTGTGGTGAGCCTATGCCAGGTTGGGTTTGGCCTCCTCAGAAGGGTTGAGAGTGTAACAGTAATGGATGCCCAAGTCCCAATTTTCTTGAGCTGGTCCAACATCTGGGCTCATGCCTAAGAGGCACATCTTGGCAGAAATGGAGTTTGGTCTATCATCTGAGTCTGTGTGTGGACAGAACCATTAGACAATGTCATTCAGCATAGCTGGGCATAGGTTTTTTTTTCTTTTTTACCAGTACAATACCACATATTTCATCTTCTCCCATAAATGTTGTCCAAAATTCAAGTATTATGTTGAATACATTGAAAAACAGCATGCTTTTCTTGTTCATGATATTAATAAATTTTTTTTAGGTTCTCCATGAAATATTGTGTTAACTTTGGGCTGTTATGTATGGCCTTTATTATATGAATAGGTTTCTTCTATTCCTACAGTCACTGTCTTTTGTTAAAACCATAACTGTGCCCCTCTAGAGATTAATTATACCATGATAATGACTCAGTTGGCAAGGAAATAAAGTCTTGTTCAGAGTGAGAACTCTTAGATGGAAATTCTCTAGGTCCACAGTCATGAAGAGTGGATTGAGCCATGTTACTGCCAAATAAATTATTTAACAAAAAGTAAATGCTTTTTCACTTACTGTAAGCTACCCTTGGCCCCAGAGATGGACAAACCTGTTTTCCCCAACATACATTAAAGTTTACATAAGGAGTGGTACTTGATGTTTTGTGAAGTAAAAAAAAAAGTTCTAGAAAAACATCATTAAAAGCTCATGAGAGAAAAATTATACCTTAAGATGAGGCTATGGCACATATGAGCCTGGAAGAGGTTTTGTGTGCTGCTACTACAGAGGTATCTGAGGGAATAGTTAAAGAATCACCTGAGGTTATATGGGGTCATAGGGTAGTTGCAGCTGTCTCCTTACATGTTGTCACCTGAACTTAGGCAATTTTCTTTCTGCAAATGTCAGGACCATACTCTGGTGACCTTTACATTGCTCACTCTGGACTGTGAGTGGCTGAGATCTCTGAGGAAGCAGCATGGCTCCATGTCTCAAGCCCATTCTCAGTGAGTCACATTCTCTGTTTCTCCACAGAGCCTGTGAGAATGCCCATCCTCCTAGCCAGCAACACCACTTTCACAGAGAATAAGGGTGCTGTGGTCTTGACCTGCTACACAGATGAGCTCACCCTCCAATGGCTGTTCAATGGCTTACAACTGCAGCTCACAGAGAGAATGAAGCTGTCTGAGGACCACAGAAACCTCACCATAGATCCCGTCAAGAGAGAAGATGCTGGGAATTACCAGTGTGAAGTCTTCAACCCTATCAGTTCTTTTGCAAGTGTTCCCGTTGAGCTGGATGTAAAATCTGAGTGAACCCCCTGTCCCCTTCTATGTTGTTAGAGTCTAAATAAAGGGTTTTTTGCATCATCATAACATTTATTCTGAGAGTGAATAGTTCTTAAAATATTTGCATTGAGTTAATATACACTAAAAATATGAGCTGACATTGTCATTATTGTTGATTTAAAGTCACATTTGAGACTAACCTCACCCCCTCAGTTTTGTCTCTTGTGTATCATGGCCACAGTGGAGGTGACATTGTGTCTCTTGGAGGATAAGCACTGGTCTTGTGTACTGTTAAGGGGCATGTATGAGATCATGGCCACTTAATTTGGAGATTCTGATTCACAGACAGTAAAGACCCCAAGTCAAAGGTGAATAGCTAAGCACTCTATTAAGCTAGAGCAAAAAGAAAAACAAGAATCGAGAGCCTACATCACCAGATGGGAAATCACCAACACCCAAATGCAGATGCTGGGGAATCCCAAGAGGCAGCATTGGTTGGGGTTTGTCTGGGAACATTCAAGCAAAGCATCCTTCCCTTGGGTGGGATTCCAAAGTATCACTTTGGGGGTTATGATTAAATATGTTTTAGACAAACATGGCTACTTGCCAAGGACCTTGTATGATTTTGACTAACTAACCATTCCCTCTGGGAGAAGGGCCAAATCTCCCAAGGGAAAAGCTAAATATCAAAAGGTACTAATCTCCTGGGGAGAATGGCAAGTTCTCTCTGGGAGATAGCAGTACATTTTGCTTTTCCAATGAAGGTCACAACTCAGGCATAAACAGGGAGCATTCTCAAAGTCCCTTTAACACCTCACCTTGTGATAACAAATGGGAGAAGGTGAAGAACTCACTGAATGTGAGCTCTGTCCTCCATGCAAACATGTGGAGCCACCTGGATACTGTCGTAGACAATGGGAATGGACACGACGACACTCATGTTGGTAGCAGCACTGATCTTTGTCTTTCATTTTGATATCTTTTAAAAGATTTCTAAGTTCTCTTGAGTATTTTATTTATATGGCAATACAAGTATTTCATGTGTTCAGTTCATTTCTGTTCTTTTTGTGAATAAGATATAATTGGAAACTTTGGTAATAAAACCCAGGCTTTAAATCGAATGTCCTAGTTCAGACTGATGCTCTCAGAATTAGAAATATTTTCACACTTTATACAGTTAAGTTTGATCTGTTTGGTTTATTGGTATCTCTTGGAGAAGAGGACACCACCTGAAACTAGAGAGAGTGCAGGTCATGGGTGAGGGTGAGGCTTCCTCACCTTAGAGAGTTATGCACAGTGTAATAAGCCATATGGTATGAAAGACATACCATATGATCTCACCTGTAAGTGGAGTCTAACCAACAAAACAAACAAGCAAGGAAAATATAACCAGAGACATTGAAAAAAATAACAAATTGACAGTAACCAGATGGGGTACAGGGTATAACAGGAGAAAGAAGGTGAAGGGTGCTCAAGAAATATGCATAAATGACACGAGGACAAAGCCAAAGTAGGGTCAGATTGAGGGTGGGACGTAGGGTGAGTGGGGCAGGGGAAAATGGTGGAGAGGAAATACAGACAAGTGTACTTGAACAACAATTTTAAAAAAGAGAGTTTGTTAAAACTTCCATCTTAGGTTTTATTGAAAAACCTTCATTAGAGCAAACTATGTGATGAATGTCAGTTCCTCTGCACTTAGGTAACTAATCAGGCTAAATCAGGTGACACCAGCCATGTTGTAGGGTCGAGAATACCGTTCTTTCTTAGTGATTATATATGATGAAAGTAAAGGTGACCGTAAAGGAAAATATAATGTCTGAGTCAATATCTCCAGAAGCACAGCCTTCTGGGAGATCAAATCCTGGCTCTGTTCAGGGACCCTCAGGTATTTTGCACCTGTTTATAAACTGCAGGAACTGATGAAGATGCAAACTGAGTCTTGGCTGTAAGAGATTTAATTGTGTTTCCCTCCACTGTGTGGAAGGCAGTTTTGTTATGACCCAGAGACCTTTAGACAGTGGCTTCCTGATTGCAAGCCTCTATATTTTTAGAGCATTTTCCTCATAATGTAATTGCAATTTGTAATTGAAGATTATTTTTTGCCCATTTGAAATACATGAGAGTCTCCTTAAAATCCTCTTGCTAGTGTATGGTTCAGAAAGTGTCTGTCACAGAGGTCTGTGCCCATCAATTAAAATGTAATTGTCATGTGTCCCAGGCTCTTTGGGAGAGAAGAAGCATAACTTGGGTGAAGACCTTTAAAACCATGATGTAAAAAGACATCCTATGAAGATTTTATGAAAAGTTTTACTTTTCTGTAAAGCCAGCTAGCAAAGAGAGATGCCTTTATTCTTTCTTGTGTTCTTAAAGTCTCCACAGCCTTCTGTCTCAGGGGTGCTGTGTTCCGGCTCACTACACTATTGCATGGCCTTTAATAAAGTCTTCCTTGCCTCTTTAAATTTGCTTGATGCACACTTCCGTCTGACATCACCTGCTTGCTGTTACCTGATCCTGTCATCTTGTTCACACTGTCCATCCTTGCCATATTTTCACATCTTCCAATTATTTTTAATCTGGCTGAAATTTCCCAAGTAAATGTATGTAGTTGTCCTGCCTACATCCTGAATTGGTTTCCACAGCAAAAGGTGACCTGACTGCCATGAGTTTTCTGGGAATGAGGTTGCTCTGAAGTGGCCTTTGTCTTAGAATCAGAGAAAAAGGGCAGGTAGGAAACTCTGCACCTCCACAGCACCCTAACCATCAACAATGTTCTCATTGTACATATATTTTTACTCATCCTTGAGGAACAACTTTACAGAGGTTTAAAAAATCTTGTCATGGAACTCTGAAACTAGAGTAAACATGCTCGTCCCTGTCCCATCTGCCCCCTGCAGGTCTGTTGTGGAAGAGCCTCTTTTGTGCCTCCTGTGACTTGGATCTCAGGTAGAGGTCAGTGTCCTGGAAACCCGATGCACTAGGCAGGAAAAGTATGAAACAGGAAACATGGGAGAACAATCAAGGGAGAGATGAGATGAGCACCGGATTGAGGACTAGGAGTCTGAAGGGCGATGAAGATTTGTAAGACTGGGGACACCATGAGTACAGAGGATTCAGTGAGGGAGGGACTTGGCCTACAGGGTAGTCAGGTTAGCAAAGGGATTGGTATTGGGCCTTGGCAAAGTGTAGGATGCAGGGTAGGCCAGAAGGTGAAGACCAGATTGAATACCAGAGGTGTCCAGTCTCTATTTCAAGCCAGTGGAAACATGTCAGCAGGCTTTCAAAGTGTGGTCTGTGGTCTGCAGTTTCCACATAGCCTGGGAGGGCTGGAATGGGTAAAACTCACCACCATACTGTAAAGATGTGCCTCAGCTGAGTCAAGAAGTTAGCAGTGTTTAAGGGATTTGCATATAAGTAAGGCTGACTGGGTGCCTGAGGAGAGGCAAAAACAGTGGTGGTGTGTGTGCTTGGGAGGGGGAATTGAGGGCTGGGATGAGATTGGAGTGGAGACTTTTGCTTCTTTGTTGACTAGTGACACTGTACTTTCTGTCTCTGAATGTGAATCAATGATACATTTGAAGACAAAATGAAGACAGTCTTAAGTTTACCACCCACCTCTTGGTGGTAAGGGTGGTCAATTTTCACACACACACCCACCCACTCACACAGCTGGTTTCCTTTCTGTGACTTTGCAGTTCTCAGCTGTTCTGAGAGGGTTCATTGCTACACTAACCAGAAGCTTATTCAGTAGAGGAAGTAAATTATGTGAGACCTTGTTTAGTTCCTTTAAATTATTTTCTTAAAAATAAAAAAGCTATTGCTATGGGTAACTGTCCTCCTCCCTCTTTTTCTGCCATAGAATGCATGCTTCCATACTAGAACACTAACTCAATTTAATGTCTTCATAAGAAGCAATTTTTTTATTTTTTAAAGATTTTATTTATTTTAGAGAGGGGAAGGGAGGGAGAAAGATAGGGAGAGAAACATCAAGGTCCGTGTACCTCTCACGTGCCCCTTGTTGAGGACCTAGCCTGCAACCCAGGCATGTGCCCTGACTGGGATTCAAACTGGGGACCCTTTGGTTCGAAGGCTGGTGCTCCATCCACTGAGCCACACCAGCTGGGTAAGAAAAAGCAAATGTTTTTTAAAAATAAATAGAACTTCAATGATCACACAGACCAACTGACTTGGAAAGTCCCCAAACAGCTCATCTAAGATGTCTCCCTCCACATCATTTTTTAAAATATGAATCTTTCATTTTATACCTTAGACTCTTCAGCCCTCCCGAATAACTGATCTTTTCAATCCTCCAGACACAATCTTCTTGACCAGTCTCTCCACCTCTGAACAACCTTGTTCCTCCTACCTGGGCCCCTGAGCCACTGACAGTGATTGAGCTTTGGGCCTCTTCCTTCATCATGTGCTCTGGAGGGTCTCAGATGCCTCAAGACGCAGAGCCTGAGCTTTAAATTGCTGCCAGGAAACAGAAAATGAACACACAAGAAACTTACATTTTATAGATATCATGCCCAGAATTTGCCCTCTTCAGGCTCCATGTTCTCAAAAGTTCTAGAGGTCTTAAACTCAGATTAATTGTGTTAAAGAACACATGACATTTCATTTACTATCCTGAACCATAGACTTTTTACATTTTAGTAGTGGTATGTATATATGTATACTCATATATATATGTATGTATATAAATATTTACATTATTGTAAAGCAGAGCTCTAGTAACAGTAAATGGTAAAGTGGAAAATCTATAGCTATGGAAAAACAACACCCCATTCCCTTTTTCCCTAAGTACCTAGAACATTAGAGAACAGAATGTGTCCTCCAGGGTTTTCATGAAACAAATCAGAAAAAATATTAAGGTTTGGGGACCTCTGGGGTTCTCTGTGTGGTGCTGACAGACCCAGGACCAAGGCACAGTAAAGGCTAAGGCCAGGGGGAGGGGCAGGTCATCCACTCAAAAGGACACATGTCTCCATCAGCCTTGTAATTGCAAGTGAGCTCCATAGGCCAGCAAGATCAGCCTTTCCTGAGAGCTTGTGTGATTCAGAGTCATCCCATACCTGCCAAGTCAG